TAGAGTTATTGGTGATTACGGCTCTTGGTACGATCTCGTGGAAAGTTTAGAGCAATTGGCTGTCGATCATAACATACCGCTAATTGTGAATCGCTCACAAATCTTCTTTCCCCAGATCCAGATGAATGGGCGCGCAAATCATCCCTTGAGCCCTTGCCTCAAATCTCCAGGTTGTCAATCTACGTTGAGAGAGAGACCCAGCATCCCGGTCATACTTCCATTTAGGGGAGGTGGAACTCCGGCTAACACTCGAATTCCTATCTTCCTCGATTTGTTCGTTCATACGGAAGTAGTCTTTACCGACATGATCCCCATCCCCTAGTCACTCGAATGCTGAATAACCGCCCCTCACAAGTTGGGTCGTGTTGATTCCATTCAAGCTAAGGATTATGCCAGGGACAGGGCCTCCATGACTGACCTTGGCTCCGCCGTCTGGTCTGGCCCATCTCTAGAGACCAAGGCCATTTATGATCTGGCTTGCAGCCACTTCTACAACGTCTTTTGCACGAAACCGTCGACCTCTGCGTCAGCCGGCATACTCACCAACAAAGGATTGCCATCGGAGAGGGCGTTGCGCCAAAAGCTTGGATGACAGCTCGGTAAAGACAAGTCGTCTAACGGCGACCCGAACCACCCACCCCGTTCTATCCCGAAACGCCACCTGGCTGCTCCGTCGCCGTTGACCGCCCGCCATGGAACTGGACCCGAACAGTCAAACATTGACGCCACTTCCCGAAGTTCTACAACGGGGCCTAACTGCCGTTTCTTTCTTCGGCTTCCTTTCGTTCATCACAACAACAGCACTCTTCTTAGTCTTGACCTATCGGCTGATAACATGGTATCTTGCACCGGGCCCGGACCGGCCACAGCGCATGGCTGATGAGCCGAATGCGGATGCCGTCCTGGCCGAAGAGATGGGTCTTCCGGAGACGATGTACCCTGGCAACAAGAAGCGCAAAGTCAAAAGGGACGCACCCAACCAGTTCCTGATGCTCATCTACAACCTGCTGCTGGCCGATATTCAGCAAGCTCTTGCTTTCTTGCTCAATGCGGCATGGCTCAACAAGGGTGGAATCATCGTAGAGAGCACGACATGCTGGGCGCAGGGCTGGTTTATCTCGACAGGCGATTTGGCTTCCAGCGCCTTTATCACCACGATCGCCATACACACCTATTTGTCGGTTGTCAGAGATTATAAGCTCCCGACTTGGGCATTTTGGTGCATGATCGGCTCTGTGTGGTTCTTCATCTACGCCTTGGCCATAGCCGGCGTCATCATCACCAACAATGGAGCCGACAACGGTGGCCTCTACGTCCGTGCCGCTGCATGGGTAAGTTTTTGTCATTGTGTCTACATATCAGCTCGAGCTAACTTCATCATAGTGCTGGGTGAATGTCCGATATGAGGCGATGCGTCTTTATCTTCACTACCTGTGGATGTTCGTTTCCTTCTTCATCACTGCGATCCTCTACATACTCATCTTCAACCACATCCGACGCACCGACCCATCACTTCAACTACCCTCCTCTTCCAACAACACAACGTCTTCTGCCTCCCAGAGCAACCGTGGTCGTAAACTCAGCCACGCCCACACAATGTCCCAGTCTGGGCCACCAAAGAGCTCCCATGGCGAAGCTGCATCGGCGTCCAATCCCAGCAACGCCGGACATCACCCTGCTTTCCTCATCTATCCCATAATTTACATCCTGTGTACGGCACCTTTGGCGTTAGGTCGTGTCATCACAATGGCTGGAAAGTCTGTTTCCTTGGATTACTTCTGCCTCGCCGGTGCAATGATTGCATCTAACGGCTGGCTTGATGTTCTGCTATTTTCCACCACTCGTCATGTCATTATCTTCAATGCCTCCCCAGACTTCGAAGAGACAGGTATCGAGACCTTCGCCTTCATGCGAACACCGGCTAACCGGCGTTACGGCAACATGGTGTGGGTACAGGGCGCTGGAAGTGCACCTAACAACCTATCTGCGGATGAGGGTACCGGTGGCTGGCTCTGGAAGCTATTCCGCCGGGGACGTGGTGCGGGTGACATGAAGCGAGATCGTCGTCGCAGTGGAGCACATCGGAGCATCAGCCAGGAGTCTCTAAGGAGACGGGCTGGGCAGATGGAAGGCATCCAGATGGAGACAGTAACAACGGTCGTTGTAGAGATGGAGGGTCACTCGGGAGTGAAGAAGGTCAATGGAAGGCCGCTTTCGATCGATACAATTGAGAAAGAGAGGGCACAGAGCGTGGGCAGCATGTGAAACACATTTTCGCTAGGCGCAAGAGCCAATTGTCAGCAGCCTGCTTGAAGGACCGTTGACGGATATCGGCCAATCTACTGATCAGGCCTACGGAGACATCGGGCTCTACATTGCAGTATCAGATCTCTTATGTTTAATGGGGAGGCAACTTCTCAATGTGCTCTGTTAACGATAGCGGGTTGGGCTTTGGGCGGTCATCTGTATTAGTTATACCCATAATGTCATATATAGACTTCGTTCATCTATCACTGCTGAGTCATCATATCCCATATCTATCCGTGCAAGATTTTGTCTCTCGAGGGCACTTTTCTTTTCGCAAATATCTTCACTTCTGTATGATAGGCTGTGTCAACATTATAAATGAACGAAAGACATCGTCCAATTGCATCCGTACAGCAAAGTATAGCCATTGATTCTATCAAGCCAAGATGTTGCACGTCTGATGGAGAGACTAATCAACTCAGCCTTCATGTATCTCAGCTGAATGGCTTTATGGAGTATCTACGTTAGCGTTCGTGTGTGGCAAAGTCTAAAAGCCTCAGAGTAATCTTGCATTCAAGAACGACTTCATTGTCATTCCTTTATAGCCTTATGTAAATCTGAAATGTCACATATATCTTGCTGTGTTAGGAAGAGTATTAGATTGAAGCTCTTGTCGTTCCATGTGAAACTTTGAGCGAGAATCGTGGCTTCCAGACCACCGGGCAAGAAAACAAGGCAAATCGCTGATCACTTTTGACACATGACTCTGCATTAATTCAGATCGATCGAGATGTCTGAAGCACCTTCCGAGGTCCTCTCTAGATTCTTACATAAGGCGAGATGAGACATCATTCGAGATGAAGATGAGATTGCAGCACAGGCAACAATTACAACATTAGTCTATCCCGCGCATTTCAACCCCATCATGATACCGCAAGATACCATACCACACGCTTCACAGTCAGGGCCAATTTATCATGGAGATCTCTACATCTTGTGTCCGCCGACGCCACAGAGCGAGACTACAAAACGTGATAATGAAGGAGCCTTGAAAATCAAGGATAAAGACATAAAATTCAAGTCTGTACTCGGGAACTTGGACTATTTCAAAAGTGAGGGAATCAAAGACTTACTCAAGATATCAGACATCATCTGAAAGGGATTTGAGTTGTTGTAGGATGTTACCAGGTCCCTCCCAATAACAGCATTCATCAGCACGCATGAGTTCGGTGACGACACGAAAGACATCAATTCAACGCAGAAAGCTCTAGGGTACTTTCTCCAGACCACCCACGGGGTCAAAAGCTAGGTTTACGAACACGTGGGCGCAGTTGGCTGTGATGTCGACGAAGATGAGCTTCAAAAAGTGCGGACCATCAACTTTAGGCTAGCGAGGAATCATGGTTTGACCGAGGAAGACATCGAGTTCATGGAGACCTTGAAAGACTTGATGAACGGCAACAAATCGCTAGCCAATGTTGAATCATTGGCTCTGAAGCACGTTGTCGTCCGGATTCAGCATGAGGTCAGGATTTAATGCCAACCGAGGCTTGCAAAGCCTCTTGAAATTTCTCGCTTCGCACAGTGTAGCCGACCAGCATCCTGGCAAAGACTCACTTTAAGTACTCAATTACCTAGTAAACCCCCAGACAGCGAAAGAGCCGCTGCAGAGGAGTGACGGACAAAGGAAAGCTAACCCCCTCAAACGGGCGCGGGAACATACCGATCAAATTACGGAGGAAGACGCTATTAACCCCCTTGTCACAAATGAATCGATCCCTGGGAATTATTGCCGAGCCATTGATCAATCTGAAGACCATTTTCAAGTTCTTGCTAGAACATCGCCAAAAGTGTCTTCCGATAAACATCAGCGTCTAGTTCCATCCCATCGCAGCCCCTTGAGCCTAGAGGTCCCTACCACACATGGATCCCCGTTGAGACTGACGCACTGTGAAATGCAAATTCTTGACGACTACACACTGCAGAGACAGCCCAAGAACGGAATTCAAGCAACTAAGTCGCGTATAGATAAGTACATTGGGATCTCCGAACTGTGTTGTCCTCTTTGCAGCATCGTCATACGGACCATTCCCGAACTGTTCATTGTTGAAGATAACCATCAGGTGTTTTCGCATTACTGGATGCTACCTGACTTCATGTGCTAAGACTCGTTCAAGAAGCACCTGGAAGGTTTCGCCGACGTCCATGAGGCTTGGAAGCAGCTGTCAGAGGAAGATCTCAAGCGTCCGGGGGTCGAGGGAGAGGCTGGACCCTCGAAGAATGGGAAGTTCCTTGCACGATAGATACCACTGAGGTACTAGAGTATTAGGATGGAGTTTGTGTTACACATCGAGAATAATATTTGTTATTCTTCATTCAATTTTGCAAGTAAGGTGTTGGGGTTTCACGAAATGCAAGAGAAGTGCTTGGTAGAAGAGCCTTACAAACGCGGCAAGGAATTCCCGAAGAATGGTCTTGTAGAACATGGACGGTGCGTATGGCAGAGCAGTGAACAAGCTTGAGACTACTTACAAGCCCACGAACAGATCTTCCGTCCTTAAAGTACTCAAAGAGCGTTCCGTATATAGAGCCTATTTCCTAGGTTTGCGAGGAGACTAAGAGGCGTTCTTCCGAAAACTTGTGTTCGATATGAATTCTTCTGTTTTGACCCTCCACTAAAGCCCATGATCATGCTAGCTCACTTAATTCTTCAGTCGCTTGTATTCTATGCCATCGCAAGCCATGCTGTTGTCATGCACGAATTCAAGACCTCAAATTCATGGACCAAATTAGCCCCCAACTCCAGCTCAACATCATCTTCCTCAATCGGACACCCATCAACTCTCAATTATCTCACAAAATCGCCTCTAAACCTCTTACCGCCAACAGTCACACCCTTCCTCTCACCAGAGAATTCAGGCAATCTTCGGCCACAAACCCAACTGCCGGACTCAAGAAGCCCGACTTCCACGCCGGTCCAGCCTCGAGGAGATGAAACACCCTTCAAGGTCTTCCTCATTGAATGCAATAACCCTTCCTACAAAGAGTACAAGCGCCACCGAGATGTGCACCACGACGGCGTCGATAAGGGCGTAGAACGATTCTGCGACTCGGATATTGCACGCGATACCATCACTCTCGTAGATGATGTACAATATCACCCCCTTCCTACCTGGCGATGGCGCTACAAGGATAGATATGGGGTTTACTTGGACTTCAAGGTCAACTGGAAGGTCGGATGCCGCACCTCCCAAGGTTTCCAAGATATTCAGCGGTCACTTGGTCCCGATGGACCGTCTTGTGATGACATTATGTTAGCTAACTGGAAGCATTGTAAGTCGTTCGCTTCAGGTCTCCGCCACAATTCGTTGCTTGGGAAATCCACTGATGCTTTGAAGATCTTACATCATGAACCAACTCGTGTCCTCTCAAGCAACTGACACGGAGTATCAACGAAGCTTTTGCATTTATGTCGAGATCGTCTCGCGATCGCATCTATACAGCAATATGTAGTACACTATAACTCGACTCCATCAATGGCGTGGTATCATGTACTCGTCTTAACTCCATCCCATTCTCAAACGACCGATCGTCCTAGCGATGTCCAGATTAGGGATTATCCAAAATATTACACGAAGCTTATAGTCCTCTTCCCATGGCGAGTCTGTATGGTCAGGGTACTTTATGCGACTATCAAACCATCAAGGCCCAAGCAATCGCACCGGCGATGGCACCACCGGCAGAGAAGACAGCACGGCCAGCGGCGTTGACCTCAACGACAGTATTGGTGCTGGTAGGTCTCACAGCAGCGGTCGTGCCGGTAGGAGTCACCGGAATGCCAATGTGGGCACCACCGTCGACGGTTCTAGACGCAGTAGAAGGCTTGACGCCGGTGCCGGTGGCAGTAGGCGTCGCAGTCTCACTCTCTGGTTCCTCAGTCTCGGAAGCGCTCTTGACGGTGACGGAGTGCTTGGCGGTCTCCAACTCAGACTTTGTCGTGAGTGTCTTGGTCTCCGGAGCGGACGTCGTGCTAGAGATAGGAGTCGACGTCGTGGTGGGAATGATAATCTCCTTGCTGGTCGTAGTGGGCTTGGGCTCTTCCTTGACTCCGCCCCACGGCTCGCCAGTCTTAGGGTCGCGGTACCAGTTCGAGGCCGGGTCGCCGAGGCAGTCACCAATAGTCGTGAACTCGAAACCCTTCTCCCTCGCCGTGTCAATCATGAACTGGACGAAGCCGTTTACGGTGAATGTGTGGATATCGTGGGCCAAGCTGATGAAGGAGGAACTAGCGGGGCTGGCGCCATTGATGGCACCTGAGAAGGTAGCCTTCGAGTTGACACCATTGTCTACCCAGTCCTTGGTGTCAAGGTTGTAATCGGTCTACGCATGAACGTCAGTTGGAGGAACATTAGAGCTATATTACTGCAAGTGCAACATACAACGTGGTACGCGAAGTCGTTGAGTGTAGAAATACACTGGCCGTCGCAGTGAGTATAAGGAGGGCGGAAGTAGGTGGGAATGAGGCCGAGGGTCTTGGCAAAGACTTCCTCGTTCTGGAGAACCTCTTGGATTTGTTGGTCCTTGGAAATTGTGTTGAAGTCCTTGTGGCTCCATGAGTGACTACCGAGCTGGTGGCCAGCGCTCAACATCCGCTTCAGGACGGAGGTGTAGGTTCCACTGGCGATGCCGTTGTTCCCGTTCGTGCCAACGAGGAAGAATGTTGCCTTGATGTTGCCGTTCTTCTCCAACGTGTCAAGAACCTGGCTTGTGTACTCTCCGGGACCATCGTCGAAGCTGAGGGCGAGCTTGCCATTAACTGTGCAACGAGTGATATCAACGCCGTATGGGACATTTCCGAAGCGCGGGCGGGGCAGGTCTCGGGTGTTGAGAGCAGACGCTGACTCGAGGGGGACGGCCGCTGCTAGGTCGCCACAAGCCAAAATTGCTGCGAGGAGAGAAAGAGAGTGTACTCTAACAAGCATCTTTGCGGTTCGATGATGTGGTTCAAAGCGAATGACAGTGAGACGATCGACCAGATGAGCTATTACGAGCTCGACTTCGAACTGGGTGGGATGGATGCACTTATATCTGAACCCACGTTTCCGTGTACTAAAAGAAGAATCCTCGGGGCTTCTCATGTACTAGAAGCATCGGGGATTAAAGGAAATGAGAGTGCTGGCCTAACCCGTCAAGCGTCGCGTGGAGAAGGCTGGGCAAGAGGTGATCCCAAGCGGGCGTCCCGTCCGTGTGCCGCGCCCCCCCAACGGCCGCGGCCGGGTTCTCGGGCGAGATGGAGGAGGCAGGACATTCTGAACGCTAAGCTCGCACCTATCCAGACAAGAAGAAGCAAGGGGAATGGCGTGGATGACTGTAAGAGCGCGATCTTTTTTGCGACTGGCAAGGTTGGGTGCCTGTTCGTGAGGTAGAGGGAGACTACGGGCTGCGGCTTGATGTCGCAAGAGAGACGGCGTGTACCAAAAGCGGCCAAAGGGTCGATGCGCTGCGCCATGACCACGTCTACACGGGTAAGGTAGGGGCCGTTTTGCGGGGATGCTGTTGGCAAACAAACATGAAGTGAAAGAACAGCGGTTGTCGGTGTGATCATCACAAAGGACTCAGACGAAGAAGAAATTAGAGCCAAGAAGATCGTGTTCGAACTCTTAGTCAGGGCTTTTGGACTCTGAGGCTTGACCTCGGTCTTCAAACACATTTGCGAGGTGACCCCCTGACTCGAAATGGGCATGAACTGGTCAAAAGGCAACAATACGAGCATTGGCAAATCCCAACTGGCTGGATGTCAAAATTACAGTCCCCCGCGGTCTACGCCCGAGGCACTTGGCAGCAGATCCTCGGGTTCCTTTTTTAACCCACAAACTTGTACCTTTTGGGATAGCCGTAGGCAGACATTTTGGGGGCTTGGAGAAAGGAGGGACTTTGGAGGCGGTCAGCAATAACTGACTTCTCCCGGTCTTCTCCCAAGAGATGGGAGGCGGCGGCTGAGGCGCAGGCCCGACCCAATGCGTCTTAATTCGTTAAATATGGTGTGCTTTGGATACGCAGTGCTCAATTGGGGTTTGAGGGGGAACCTGGCTAAGTCGTCCGGCAATTTTCTTCTCGAGAGGTGTGACGGGGTGCGAATCTTGGCGCATTGGGGTCCTACGGAAGGGGATTGATGCAAGGGACGCAATCTGCGTGATTGGCCAACAACATCAGCCATCATCGCTGTCGCCTATTGTCGCATCAGGGTCTTGTTCACAGCCGCCATTGGGGCGTGGTATTGCGTTGCGCTGCGTTGCGTTGATGCGCCAGAATACGCGCAGAGTAGCTCTCTGTTCCCCGAGAACACCGCATTGCGATGTGCTGTGCGTGGTACCAATGGTGCAATGTGAGCAACTCCCGAGCACCAAGGGGGGCAAGGGAGACTGAGCGACTTTCTAATTGACATCGCACTTGGATCAGGAAAAACTTAGAGGAGCTTAGGGTGGCGACGGCGTGGCTGGTCTCAGTCTCGTTTGTTGCCCTTGGTTGCTCCGTTCCTACTAGCTCCAGCTGGAGTCGAGACGAGCCATGGATTAGCGGCTTCTTCCATTGCTTCTTTTCTTCCGCATTGTTTTTGTCATGCTCGATCAAAGGCCCCTCGGCCTCTTCTGTGACCGTCTCTGCATATGGTCTATTTCCCATTTCTGCAGTGCCTCATCCTCCTGCTGTGCCGTGAGCCGTGAGGGTCTCCGGAGTTGGCCCCCGCAGTCCGCCCTGGCCGCCGGCCCACCCCCGGTCTCTTCGATTTCGTTGCTCTCAACAGCGTGGGGAGCACAGTTGGGTAGTAAGTGACCTTCAAGTTTCAATTGACAACATATACCTCCAAGTGGTTTGTCCCACGGCAGATTGAGGTGGAGCCAGTCACAGCATCTTATGAATAGGTCAACCTGTACTCCGTACTCGTATTGATATCCTACTGACGCAGCTTGTGACCTGTGGACTGGGGTTCGGTAAGGGAACGCGGAAAAGCGCACTCACAGCTAGGTCGTTTCCGACACCGAGCCAGTCCCGAAGCTTGTGTACCTCCCAGGCAAGGGCAAGACACTAGGCTCTCAGCCCGTACAAAGCAGCGTAGCATTGCCATGGATATGATTGGTTTCATCAGCCTTACCACTGAGGAAAGGGAACTGCATCGACAATTGTCGCCTCTTCCCATCCTCTATTCTCACTGCTCAGCGTGTGCAGTTGGCATGGGCCATACCCAACTTCTTCCAGCCACCAGCGATCAACGCACGTGTGCTCCCAAGAGCAAGTCGGGGCAGGACCGACAACACATGGACTTTGCACTGTTGCTCCGGCAAAAACCTGCCGTAGGAAAACAGCGCAAATTGACAATGCGCCGGCCGCACTCCCCCGCGTTTACTGCTTCACGCTTCTCCGAACCCGCCTTCTCATCTAGACAAGTGACTCTGGCCTGTTGCCAACTTGCCAAGGGGGGAACGGCCCATCACCACTTGGCAACGACAGGGGATTAAGCTGACTGCAGGAACAAAGCTTGCTGTGCCTTGCAGCTGAGACCAGACCTCTCTTCCCGGGCAAAATGTGAGGCCATTTCTGAGGAACATGGAACATTTCCAGCGCTACTGCCATTGCTTATTCTGATCCGTTAGGGTGGAAAGCCCCGTGCGCACCCTCGCCGTGCTGCCATCTATTGGCATCAGTTCATTGAGAACGGCCTTGTTGTTCAGACCTTCAGCCCAGTCCAGCCCTGTACCTCCAAATCTTCGATGCACTGAACGCTCACAGAATGTGTGGTTTTCTGGCATACTCTCTGGCCATTACAAGGCAGGCAATCTACTATCTGTTTCAGATCGCTACCGCATTCGTTACGGTCATCTTACCTCACACGCTCGTTTATCACCCCACTCATCTCTCACTTCTCGAACGTAGCTGCACCTCACCGCTGATCACAACCCCCCTTTTCTTCTCAAGTGAAAGTCTTGCAAATTTAGAGGAACCAATGAGACTAGTTACTATCGTTAAAAGTCTTATTGCATCATGCATCGACTCTTATACATCACCGTGCCGCGGTGAGACAAAGCAGGGCAAGGTTCTGGCTCTCAAGGTGATCCATCTCATACCCTCATCCGCTTCCAAATTACGTTGCGAGGGACTCACAGCATATAATGCGCTAGACTCTCATAAGCCATGGAAAATGAGCAGGCGTCTGTTCTTGATGTCCCTAATGAATCTGAAAGTGAATCAGATCTGGAAATTACGCTTTATGTATTATTATCCCTGCCGCGTCAGCGGCGCAGTATTACCATCTACCAATGTCTCTGTCAAGGGTGGGTATGAGTTGTCGCATCCTGTACCCCAATAGGACCTGTAATAAGGAACGTCCTCTATAATCTCCAAACTTTCTTGCACTGGGCTGTCCAGCAGCGAGGTAATCCTGCCTCAAGGTCAGACGGATGCCTACTGTGACCCGAATCCTTTTCTGCCTATTTACGGCGCACTCACGCTGACGGGTCGCATTAGCCAGGCATCCGCGAAAAGGCACATCAGTCGATGGATTGACACTTCGCGCACTGACCAAAAAAGCCGTTCGGACTCATAAAGAATCGCTCCTTTTGAGATGAACGACGTGGCTTGAAATCGCCACATTTACTTTCTTTCCCTGTAAATTAATTGGCTTACATGACTCGGTCTCAGATTGTTGTTGAAAGTTGTTAAGTTGATGTCCTTGAACAAGCTACATTATTGGACTTACTCATCAATTCCAAAAGCCGATCAAGTGTCAGCGTTACCACCCTCTCATTAATGAATCCTGGAGGAGAAATGGAACTCACCTTTGTATCAAGAGCGATGAAGGCAACTCTGAAGTCATTTCTATAAACACTCGGTTTCCTCGAAGTGTCATACTGTCGGATTGGAAGTCCAATTCGACCTCGGCATACGGCCGACCGCGCAGGGGCCAATTACGGCCCCTACTTCCGATTATCGCGGCCTACCCAACCTACGGTTGGAACCTCCTTTTTACACCTACGCAGAAATTCATATAGTTCAATTGATCTCTTCGTCAACCCACGGTTCGAACCAATTAACCTGTAATAGGGATACCAACACATACGCGTGAGCAGGCTAATCTCTACTAGAAGCTAAGCGTCGATTAGCTGGTATTTGACCAGGCTCCGTGTTTGTAAATAGATAACACCTGATTCCATTCACAATTTGTCTTTAACTATGTTCGGATAACTGTAGCATTGGAAAGATGACAAAGACCCAAAGCCTCTAAAGATAGCAGCGAGAGCCCAAGATAGCATCTTCATCTTTAAACGGGTTACTGTAAAACATCGACTTACAAAATCAATGCCTCGATGCTTTGATGAGATTCGAGTAGGGAACTCCTTTGAAGGTCAAAAAGTAGGCTAAAATGAGGTCGGAGCTTGGGGCGACATCTGAAGCCTTGGGCCCTAACTTTCGCCCGCCGGTTTCCGCCATCTGTTGCATGTATCGCAGCATCTCAGGGGCCTCCTGTCAAGCCGTAACCGCGAATACATATGAAGCTTTGTTTTATTCAAATATGAGTGAAATCTGAACGTGTGACGCTACCAATGTCTGTGATACTTCACGGAGAATGAGCACGACGATTTTCAGTTGGCCACTAGCGTTGAAGTCATCTAAGCCAATGAATTTAAAAGTGACCGTCAGAAGAGTAGTGAGAGCACTGAGTCAGTCTTGTCAAACGATTCAGACCGTAAGAAAGCTTTGGAAATAGTTCACTACCATCGTGGCGCGACAGGGTAAAGTGGAAGTTGGTGCGGGGCAGTAATGTCCATATTTGACTTGATTGAGATTCGACTTTACGGCAGTTTGACATGAAACATGATGACAGCTTCTTCAGCGTGAGTTACAAGGAAAGTAACTTCACATGTAGTCATCTGCAATCCGTCATAAGAAAGGAGCTGAAGCTACTGTTGTTTAATACGAAAAGGTAAAAGCTCCAGTCTGTAAAGTGTTAGCAGACAGACTGAGAAACCGCTTTTAAACCCCCGCATCCTTAATCTGACGTTAAATGCACGAACCGAATAGGGCATAAGATATAGTCATATTGTCGTGAAGCCTCTCAAGTTTCGCAAGTCAGTGAAGCAGACTGCAGTCGCAGTCGCAGACCTTCGAAATCACACACAGGCTGGGATCGAATGTTGGTTCTTGAAGGACTCGGCCAAGACTTTAGTTCGAGGCAGCAAGTGACTAGAAGGCTTGCCCCTTGACTAACTACTGCGATAATTGGCTCACTTGAACGAATCTCACTTATCTAACATGCAGTCAGCACAAACAACTTCAAGGTAAGGTACTGGCAACCGAGAGATTCCACTCAGAGAGGGGGCGAAAGGAATTTCGAGAGCTACCCTGCCTCTTGGCTCTCGCTTTCCATGGGCCAGTTTCGTTAACCAGGTTGAATGATTGTCAGCTTAGTAGAGGTCTGCGAAGACAACCATCAGCGGTTACAACGCTGCTTCTCAAAAAGGCAGGTGACGTCCGAACTTTCATTTCTACGTGATCCTTCCGAAGCCTTGAATCAAAGTTGCACTCATGCCTTCTATGATAAGTAGAATCGTGCCATGTGAATCTCATGCTTGTCAAGATGTATTATTATCATATAAGTGAACCGCACCCAATCGGATTTGCATGTTCAATCTTTGTCAGACTTGCCCTACCATGGAACCCGAACAGGATTCGATAGCATATCCGCAAGTAAGCCCCGGTAACATAATTTCTGGTCTCGGGTGGCAGTTTAGTGAAAGATGCTCATTAGGGAAGGGCCATCTTCATGATGAACGCAAGACTGGTGATGAATGTAGGTTCTATGTTGTGTAGTTGATTCATTGAGACACAGTCCTAAATCAACATGCGAAACTCGCCTTTCCGTGAAATGAGAGCCGAGTAACGAGAACGTAATCTCACCGCATAAATCAGGCCATTGGATGTCAATCCTAGTTTGACTGTACCACCTTCCCCGCTTCATGGACCCTAAGGAAAGTATTGGTGCATACCGTGAGCGGATAATCCCGAAGGATCATCATCCTCAGCTGGGAAAGCATTTAGGGTCTCATTATTGATCCAAAGTCCCATATTTGACAGCCTAATCAGATGTTAGATTACTTTGAACGAGCTTGGCATAAGATGCGCTAGAACCAGTCTTTTTATTCATGGATCTTCGAAAGACGTAGCCTCATTCAGAGCTCAATCTAGGCTCGATTGCAGCATTGGCATTGCTTGAAAGCGGCACAGTAGACTTGGAATATCGCAACGGGCTACCGATTACGTCTTGGCTGTAGCCTTCGAATATTCCCTGTTCGGAAGCTAGCATTTACGTGCACCTTACGAGAAACATGCAATCGCTTGCCTAGAACTCCAAGCTCGCTGCTACGGTTCATGAGAACTCTATAAAAGAGCAGATACCTGTCATGTCTTGACTAGCACCAGTCCATCAACAGCTTCGACTTGTCTGAATCAGAGTCTGCACCTGCGAAATCAATTTATTCCAACATGGTTCACTTCACAAAGTCTGCGGCTGCAGCCGTCCTCACCTTCTGCTCTGCCATCCAAGCTAGCCCAGCAGCTCCTCTAGACACTAGGCAAACCGAGCAAGCAGAACTCAATCACCCAATCGGCTTCGACGCCGCTGCTGCTCGCCGTGTTCCAGCCGATGCTCCAGTTCCCAAGATTGCTATTGTTGACGCCGCGGAAATCACCGGCAATATTACCGAGGCATCTCCTTTCACACCTTCTGGTGCCGCCCTCGAGGAGGTCACCAAGCGCTTCATCGTCGGCGTAGATAACCGTCACCTCTGGACTGACCCCAATTACCCTTTCCACTCCGTCGGAAAGCTTCAGTGGTCTAACGGAGTCTTCTGTTCCGCTGCCTTAATCGGCCCTCGTCACATCCTCTCTGCCAAGCACTGCAACCCCGATCCTCCTATACCGGGATCTTTCTACCCCGGCTTCGACAATGGAGCCCGCTTTGGCTCTGCCCAAATCACCAACGGTCTCTTCACCTATGGCCAAGGACCCTTCTCCCCTTGTGAAACCAAGGGTGACTGGGTAGTCTATGCTCTCGACCAGCGCCTCGGTGATCAACTCGGTTATTTCGGAGCGAAGGTGCCTGACCGCAACATGTTTGACAAGCCTCAGTTCTTCCACATGGGCTACCCTGGTGACAAGGACGGTGGTAACCGTCCCTACCGACAGACCGACATCACGGTTCACTCCAAGAGAACCTTTGACTGCGACTCAACTGGCCCCTTCTACACTGACACAGATACCATGGGAGGCCAGTCCGGTGGCCCTCACTGGGAACTCGATGGCAATGGAAACCGATGGATCTGGGGTGCCCTCTCCATCAGTGTCACGAGTTCTGCCGAGACTTACGCTGGCTGGGCTTCTGGCAGTTCTATGATAGACGGCATTCTCAAGATGCGAGCTGACTTTCCTTAGAGACGCAGAGATTAGTGACTGGAGCCATGTGTGATTGGTTGTCACTTCCGATGTCTTTTGCATCTCCGATGACGGTTGGAGAATCTTCCACGCGCGTCTATCTAATAGCCAGTACTATATCAAAAGTTCAACAAGAATACAATTCCACAAAATTGAATCAAGTCAATTCACTAGTGTGTGACTTATGCGCCAGAACATTCTGGACCGTTTTTTTTTTTTCTTTTTTCTTTTTTTGCATATTAGATCATATTAGTCTCTTAGTGCTATGAATCATAAGGCCAAACATCACTTATCTTCCAGCGAGATAATCGACTTAGGTGCTGCCCAGACTCAAATATCTACTCGTTTCTGATGGCTTGGTCATCGAATAAACATGATGCTATGTCTACGGGAACGAAATCATACCGCGGCATATCAAATCGCTCATGGGCCAGAATGATCGAAAGTGTGAAGTAAATTGACGATCAGAAAGACAATTTGACGGACAAATGTCCGGTTCAGCCCTTCTATCCATTGTGTTTCACTGCCAGGTTTCTACACTACACCGAACTTCGTTTATGAGTCAACGTCATACATTAGGCTAGTAGATGTAAGTTTTTCCTCTTAATTTAAGTCAAGTCTTGAGTTAATTTGGGGTTGACTGGCACGTAGCACTTTCCTCGAAGACACCAGCTGGGGAATTGAGAGCAGTACTCCGATTATGTGAACAACAGATCCCTAACGATGTGTAGATAAGCGTTAAGTGATATGTGCCTGCCAAGAAAGCGGATAAAATATCCGATGGCTGCAGGCTGCGCATGAAAAGCCTCCCCATGTTTGGCTTTGAGATTGGGGGCTCCCCGAGAAATCAATAAGATAGCGGACCTGATCGACCATAGATCCATGCGTATTCAACAGGTTGCCTCGTGTCATTGCTGAGATGACCGCATGTTGCCGAAGTTGAGTCTGAGAAGGCGTCTCTGATGATTCAAAAGATGAAGGCTGCCTCAACTTTGCACGAGGCGACAGATACATGAAGCTTTCATGCAGAATCCCAATAGCTTGTTCATTGTAACCACACAGGACAATTAGAATTTGGCTACATCATCTTATGAGACACCTCATAAAACTTTTCCGGATGAACGAATGTTTCCGCCGTCCCGGGCCGTTGATAGGCTTGTCTTCAACCGCCCTGATCCTTCAAATCTTCTCGTTGTAAACCCGTATCTCTTCTTTGAACTGAAAATGCTTGGCATTTCTAACAATAACTTCTCGTTCTCGCAACTATCACGACCCTCCCTTAATGCAACTACTCGGAGTCATCGATCTCCTTCCGCTCCTTCTGCGGTGGCGGATGCTTTGGATCCGACCCAGCATCTGTTCCCCATCCACCAAAGCCACCTGCTGTCGCCACGCCTCCAAAGCCGGAAGCGGGTCCCGCCGTGAGTGTCCCTGCAGCCCGGTTCCCTGCGACGCCAGGACGGTCTTTGGCCCAGTCGTTGATCTCATCCTTAGTCTTGCCGGTGTACCTCTTGAGATCCTCGTCTGAAATTTGGGTGTCGCGGCCGCTCTTCTTGTCTTGGTAGCGTTGATAGAGAGACTTTTTGGGCTCGTCAGAGCCGGCGCCCTCGGCTGGTGTTGATTTTCCAAACAACCCCATGTCGGGTAAAGTTGTGATAATGGTAGAGCGATCTGGCGTTCTAGGATGATTGAGTTTGCTGACAGTATTTGATGTATTCAGATGAGAATCGAAGTCTCGTTCCGAGTCTAAGTATTAAGGTAGCTGGCTTGTTCTGTTGGAGGCGGAAGACACTGGCCACTCTTCGATCGCGGGGATTGTCTGAGGTAGTTATTCGAAAATTGGTATGTTCTAAGGGTATTTCTGCTAGTGTTGGTCGGCATGGCGCAGCGGACGCGAGAGGCACAGCCATGTAATGTTAGTCACGCCTCGGACGGATCGAGCGATGATCCCCTGCTCGTCATTGGGGTCGCAGTTGATAGTCAGCCCAATCAACCCACTAGTCAACCCCTATTCAGGCAGGTCACCAATGGGGGCTGTCTTCTGTCAAGCCACCACGACCAACAACATTCTCAGAAGGCTCAGCTGACGTCAAGTTGTCGCCCGGTTCGTAAGTTGCGGGTGGAACGGCAACCCCTCGTCAATGGAGACCATTAGACCATGTGACAAGTTTTGCAGGTAACGCCAGCCTAGCCTTACGTGGGTTTTACGAAACCTTCATTTATACTCCTGGTTCATTGAGGAGCAGAAGCGAAAAATGGCTCGTTCATGACTGCTATTGGTTTGCTCTAATCAATTGGAATTGCCTAGCATATGCCCATAATCCTAAATCAAGCTATCCGTATCGTGCAAGAACATCTCAGGGCTGCGGCATGCTTTCGCCCCGTGCCGGTCTGCCGTCCACGCGCAGCAGCGAGGCTGGCCGCTGCGGACTACACGTCAGCTATTGACACCGAGTTCTCTGCATCACGTTCCACAGTCTCAAATACGGCCCATTGGTTCTCCTTGATTTGCTCAGCCTTTGCGGGAAGGCACTAGCTTTTGCTTCAGGGGCAAATCTTAAAAGTCGGGGAGTATTGACCTCGAAAGCGTGGAACCCTGGTTTAACGTTGCGGCCTGCATGCAACAGTTTCTAATTCCATAGATCTTTTGTCTCGTATTATTACAGTAAGCCAAGTACGTCTCTGCTAAAGTGACCAGGCCACTACAAGACGACTGCTGTGGCGAGTCTAGTTCATCTGGTCATATCATTATGGTGAGATCTTAAGATAATTAGGGCCACGGTCTTAGTAAAGCCTTGTTCATCTGTATTACCTTCAAGAGTTGGTCTGTGACAGGCCTTCGGAAGAAGTCATTATCGACAATCGAGCCTAGCCGTACATTGACCACCATGCATCCGCCTATCTGTAGTCCTAGACCTCTAAACTGCCAAGCTCATTCTTCCCTTCTACGTGCCCTTCTCTTCATACTTGACTCGGAAGCACACAATCGCTGGGGTGCTCGTTATTCGTGACTTACCTGTAGCGATTTGCGTCCTGTTTCATCGAGTCGAACGTCGTATCTATGACAAGCACATGTGCGCCAAGTCCGATTAGGAAGTGTAATAAATCAACAGTGCATCCCCACTGAATATTAGATTCTGCTTCATCACGACGATCACTGTTTTGCTGCGTCGATGGGGCTCCAAAAGGGTGCCGACGGGAGGAGCTGAATGCAAGCTTTGATTTGCCAGCCGAGATTCAAGCTTCAAAGCCCTCGATTCATACTCCGACGACGAAAAGGCGGGGCTGTAAAGAATGAAGGGCTGCAGCCGACGGGTTTAAGGATAAGCCATGGCCAAGCTGTGCCAAGTATGCACGATCATCGGCGCTTGAGGCTGATGAGCCAGCTCTGCAGAAGTCTATTCGTTCTAGTCTCTGGGTTAATAACCATTCCGAGATGTACAGCAGCCCCAAAGAACATTGAAATCGAGTGGTCACGGATGCCTTGCCATTTCTTCAGCTGTAGCAGCTGATATGAGACATGAACAAGGAAACCGACATCTAGAGGGTTGGGAAGAATCTGCAGGACGCAATTTAAGCACGGTCATTGCTTGGCGGCTTCTGTACTATTGAGAGTGAGTAACAGCTGATTCATCTGATGAGAGCGCAGCTGTGCATGAGTGGCTGCCAGATAGTGCGGGAAGAACGGCTTTCCTGTCTTATTCAATCTTCTCGACAAGGTGACAAGTTGCAGATGCTTGCGATATACATCGCGTCTGTCACGATCGCGCTTTGTCGGCAAAGTGGAATGGAACTGGGAATGTTTCGTCGCCATCGTCCCAAATCCAGCTCTTCTTTCCAACGAACCACTCCGACAAAACAGTCTGGCCTGGCCTTCACATACTGACAGATAAGGAAGATGGAATGAGGAAGTCCCATGGACGGACGTTGCTCCTGGGACGATCCCATCACCGGCACAACCACTTCCCGATTCGTCGCAGTTGGAGGGGCGCGGAGAAATTGAGTGGATGGACATAGGAGCGGGCAGGAAAGTAAGAGGTTTCACGGGTAAAGGAGAAAGGCCTGCTTCTTCGTCCCAAGCAGCATTCCGCATGGCGAGTCGTTTCGTTGAAAATGACTTGCATGCGACTTTGGGGCAAAGGAGGGAGGCCCCATCCGCCATGCCGCCGCCGCATGTAAGTGGGGATATTACGAGACAGCTGAATCGTAAAGCGCTGAGTCGTGTTGACAGCTGAGAATGCACCCGTAGCGAGCTGAGGAGGTAGTTCGTCATACTGGCCTGTCTTATAGATGATCTCAATGGCCCCGCGCTAACCTGCACAGTAGATCTTACAATGATCGAGTAAGGGGAAATACAAGTGCATACCTCCAAGACGCCAAGACCCCCCGCAACGGGAAGGACCGTTAAGCTACAGGTAACGGGGGAAAGGCAAACAAGCGAAACAACTGCCAGTTCCCCATGTCTAGTGCTGTTTCCACGAAACCTCACCATTGCCGCGAGATGACAAACTGTTGGCCGCAGAGATGGGAGAAAAGAATCGATACAGCGGAACTGTGTCATTCCGAATAAGGATAAGGGACGATTCCCTTAAGAAAAAGTGGGAAAGACAAAAGCCGCCAGTGGGTGGGTGAGGAAAGCGAAGCGCGCCTCACAGATCCTGTCATTATCTTGGTCAAAAGTTGTGTCAAAGCCGGGGTGCCCTGATCGGACGCAGGTATACATCTGATTGAAAGTCAAGCTTTTGCAAAGACAAGGCCGGATCGGCCATGTTGGCCGTGCGCCACTGGGATTCTTCTTGAGTCGCGACATGGCTGTGACAGTGGTGATAACTCAAATAGCCCGTTCGCTGAGCCAGTAGGCGGCCCGAGGTGGGCGAGAGATGAGAAAGAGAAGACTTGCGTCTCCACATCGCCGTGCCCGCGAGTACGCCGGCAGGAGGGAGAAAAGTCAAGACGAAGAAGAGGTCCAAGAGCCGCCCTCGTCTTGGCACAAGGAAATCCTCGTATGGTACGCCGAGGAAAGGTGCCGTCCTATGAGAGCGAGGCTTTTAGGTTGTCTTCCATTCATATTTCCAAGCCCCCGGGCGCACGGAGCCTCAATATCTCCAAGTAAGAGATGTTGGCCCGGGCTTCGCCTCTTTATTCAGTAGCAGCGACAGCAAGCGGACTGTGGATCTTAATCGGACGCGCGTGTGTCCGCTCGATGCTGCGATGCGAAGCTTTCGAATCCAGGGCTTGATCAGTCATGGTCATCCTGGCAGAAGCTTGTCAGTTCTCCTCATGGCCCACTGGTCCCCACGTGGAGCTCATATACTAGTACATAATGAAACGGCGCCACTTGCCTGTTTCTTGAAGGATAAGAGGGTTGGTGTGTTCTCCGTGTACGACGCTTCATATTCAGTCGATCTTATAAGATCCAACGTTCCGCGCTGTCAGATACATCGGACATGTGCTAACTGTCCATGCCATGAAGGTGTCGCTGCCGCTCTCGCAACCGACATCCACATCGGAACATCGAATATGGCCGTAGTGCCACCACAAGGATGTGAGCACTGTTCAAGAAGCCAGATCAAAGAGCTGGGCTCTGTGGCCAGAGCTGCCAATCAGACGTACTTGACAAGATCCGAGTTGGATACGACGCTGTTGGTCCTCAATATCCGCGCCGACGATACCGCCCAAGCTGAGAATATTCAAACGGTCTTATGGACACTAGTCGTTCTCTCAGCAGTGTTTCTTGGATTGAGGATATACTGCAAGATATCCTACACGTACACAAAGATCCGAATCGAGGACATTATCCTGGTTGCCTCCTGGGTAAGAACTCTCATAACTTGAAGAGTCTCGTCACTATTCCAGTGTTGACAGTTGCTGCATAGCTGGTCCTAGCATCAGATGCCGCCCTCAATGAGTTCATCATCAAATCCCGATTCGGCCGACCCGACTTCCCTATTACCGTCGACAACATTACAGTATTAGCTATCGTCGGTCTTTCTTCCATCACGTGCTCTTTTGTCGGTCAAGTCTGGAGCAAGACTGCGTTCGCTATATCGCTATTACGAATGTGCGATGGGTGGAAAAAGGCCTTTGTGTGGTTTTCCATCATTTCCATGAACGTTCTCTTTGCATTTTCCTCCTTGTCGTTTTGGGTTGGGTGTGTACCGTTGGAGAAGAGATGGAAGCCATTCGCGGAGGGAACCTGCTACGATCTCAAGTGGGTTGTTTCATTCGGAATCTTCGTTAGTGGTAAGATAATGTCCAACATGTTCTACCATAGTCTTCCTGAGCTGTGCTAAGTCTTGCCAGTATACTCTGGCCTCCTCGACATCGCCTTATCAATCATCCCATGGCTCATTCTTATGCGGCCCAGGCCGGCCGAGGAGTCATCTGGTCTGACTTTGAGCAGGAAGGAGAAGATCGGTGTATCTGTGGCTTTGAGTATGGGAATGTTGTAAGTTTCTCACTCCGATGAAGACCTACCATTGATTTCTAACGCACTTGAATAGGGCCGGAATAGCGGCGTTTGTCAAAGCATCATATATGCGCTCAGTAAATGATACCACTGGTGATTTTTCTCGTAAGTAAAGACCCTTATCATAGAATCGGTATTCGTCTAATGCAAGTTACAGATGGGGGAGCAGAGTTGGCCGTTTGGGCCGGGGCTGAGACAGCCATTACGATCATGGCATCGACTATTCCCGTATTGCGTGTTCTGCTGCGTGACACAGCAATCAAGACTAAGTATCTTCCCGAAGCTATCAAAATGAGGGTTCGGAGCACTGTTAGGAGGTCGGAGAGAGCATCAGAAAGACCTGTGGCGCAACCTGAGGAAGACAAAATTCCTATTGTCTCGTCAGGCGCCTCAATGTCTACTGCTGGTGCCTCTTCCACATCATCGGGCTCAACTGTGGACTCACAGAAGACATTGATATCCAAAACACCGGATATCCGGAAGAAATGAGACCCTAAGCGGTCAGACGGAAGCGCGATAGCTTAGCCCGTTGCGGAGATTTATGATTTGACGAGACAACATACACGAATGGGCCATTCAGATGATATCAAGATAGTGCTAATGAACAAGGACCACTCAGTTCTTGATGAACCGTAAAATTATTGATCTTAATGTTTCAACTGCACAAACTCTCAAGGTGCTATTTCTACTCGTGCCCAATCGGCTTACCCTGAGACTGCCACGCCATCGGAGCAGAAGCAGCTACCAATGGCGCCGTTGCACCGCCCTCTCTGGGATCCTCAAGGATGAAGTTCATTGGGAACCCGATATCAAACTCCTTGAAGCTCTCAATCTTCTTGATCTGCTCCCCAGTGAGATGAATGCTCAAGGCCTTGATGTTATCTTGCAAGTGTTCCACCTTGCGACCACCAACAATCGGGAAAACGTAGCGCGCCTTTTGCATAACGTACGCCAAGGCAATTTGTTGGATGCTCTCAATGCCATGCTCCTTGGCAACTTCCTCAAGAACCTCGCTGGCCTTGCGTTGATCCTCGGATTGATCCCCTCCAAACATGGCACGCAGGCCCTCGCCAGCCTTCTTGCGCTCCTCGAGCTGCTTCTTAGACTGCAGCTTACCGCCGCCGAGGACGTCCCAGGGGCAGAGGGCCATGCCAAAGTGGCGAGCCATGGGGATGATGTCCCGCTCCATGTCGCGGATGAGAACGTTCCAGCGACCCTGGTAGACGGAGAACTGGGTCTTCCCATGCGCCTTGGCGTAGGTGTTCGCAGCGGAAACAACCCAAGCGGGTGTATCAGAAACGCCGAGATACAGGACCTTACCCTGCTCGACCAGAATGTGGAGCGAGTCCATCAGCTCCTCGACAGAGGTCGTCCAATCCCACCAGTGGATGTAGAGCAGGTCAATGTAGTCTGTCTGCAGCTTTCTGAGGGAATCCCGGACCGAGAGGTGCAGCGATTTCTTGTGGTTGCCAGAATAATTGACACATTTTCCGGGTCCGAGCGCCTGTTTGCGGTACTGCGTCGTGAACTTGGTTGCAATGAACATGGTGTCCCGGTTCTTCCTGTCGGTCATCCATTCTCCCAGAATCTCCTCGGACTCCTCGTTCTGGTAGTTGTTGGCGGTGTCGATGAAGTTGCCGCCGGCATCGACAAATGCGTCGAGAAGCTTGAAAGAGTCCTCCTTTTCCATGGAACCCATGAACGACGACCACGCAGAGCCGATGGACATTGCACCCAGGCAGAGGGGGGAAACCCTGACACCTGCGGTGGTGGACAGAACGCGGTATCGACCGAGCTCAGTTTTGGGCTCGGGAGCCGGCGCGAAGAGGGTTTGAAGGCCGGACATCGTGAGATGAGTTCAAACTGTGGGGTATGGCAAGAGGTACTTGATGGTGAGGTTTTGGTTGAGCTAATAATGGTACGATGGACTAGTGCCTTTTCTTGTTTTGGATGGAATTGTGCAATGGGACAAACTGAACTGCGTTGAAAATGCTCGCCTTTATATCAACCTTTGCCATGTGAAGCCACCCGTGGAGCAGCTCCAAGCGGTGAGTAGAAACTCTGCAACCCGGGTATAGGAACAAAGTCCGAGAACGCATGCAGGGTTTCATTGCCAAGCGACAAGAATCAACTGTCCACCATCGGGGCCGCTTGTGCCCCGTGCTTTCACCATGACGTTGGAACACTTTCTGGACTTCGACGATGAAATCCTGGAAATGGGCAGATGCGGGTCGATATTCGTCCGCAGGTACTGCGGATCTTGGGATGCAACGCGGCACTTCGCGGGGCCCAGTTGCAGACTACCTAGCGTGGATCGCCATCCCCCCAGACCCGGGGCCCACTTCGGACCCGGAAGCGAGCAGGTGGAAAGGTCTTAGTAATTAATCGATCTCGAGCTAGGCGCTGTGAGACATTACAAGCCTGCCATCAGGGTGGCAATATAGCGACGACTTAATACGTACATGTAAAGCGCGGATAAGTATAGTGTCAAAGTTCCAATATTCTTGGAAACTTACTCGATCCCATGAGCCTCAATACTCAACTAGATGCACGAAGATTCTTAGATATTCTCCGTCGGCAACTGAGATGGAAGATCAAGTAAATTCCATGATGATCCACGACACTGGGCAACATGGGTAGCCCCAGCGGGTTCTCGGAGTCCGTCAACGTTGATGGGGAGAGAGTTGCCCATACCAATCATCGGACTTAACGGCCGTAAGATTTGGCAGTCCGTTGCGATGGGTCTTCTCAACAGAGCTGGGGCTGCGAGCTGCCAGCATGCCTTTTTCCGAGCTTCAAGATCTAGACATAGGTAACTCAGTACTAATGGCTTAGACCGAGATCAGTCAGGTTCTTGTGAAGCCATTTGAGATCACATATCATGGTCATACGTTCTGATGACAAAGGCTGTACAACAGACTATCGAGATGGCTTCACTTACTAGTCGTTTTACAACAGTCGAGCATGAGGTGGTAACTTATGACCTCTTCTATTGATATCAAGCTAGTTTAGCTCCATGCGAGTTGCTTATGCCCCTGATTTGTAGGTTTCAGTCCCCAGCAGACTAGCCCGCTGACGTTTGCGGAGAAGCCGTCGGACTTAAGCCGTCCGTTCATCGGGCCAACGACGTCTCTAGGAGAACCACAAACTCTTCTACAGTTTTGGGTGAAATACAATATTGCCACGTGGAGTAATTTTCAGAAAATCGATTAATTTCAATGAGGGTCACGCCGGGCCCCGATGTAGCTCTTCACCTACCGCCAACTCATTATCCGATGAGATCGTATGAAGTTTGCTCTGCCACGACACCAGGATGACCAATAAGCACAGCTCTGCTCAAGCATAAAATCCCGCGGGGTTCTGAACCATTAAACCCATCCATGCCTTCTCGTCCTCAACCCAGCTTCTCAAGTTTTGGATGATCCGGGCGTCGTCAATTTCTCTAAACTCTTCCACCGCCTCCAAGCCTCGATTCACACGATCTTTACCCTCCCCAGTATGAGGCCAGTCGCTGCCCCAAACCAAGCGATGCGGAACCGCCTCAACCAAGGCCTTGACAATTGGCTCCATATCATCGCAACCGGATTCCGTCCTATCAGATAGTCGATAGAATCCCGAAAGCTTGACAATGGCCTTTGAGGCTCTTGCGAGTTTAACAAGAGCTTCGAAGCCGGGCTGCTTCGTGGGATCGTCTAGGCTGCTTGTTGCCGCGTTGAGCTGCAATTTGGATAGAGCTCGTATCCCGCCGACGTGGTCTGCAATAACTTGAACTGGAAGGGCGACTATTGTGTCATACAAGTCTGTTTCGTCCTTTAGTGTTTGCTCTACCTCGGATTCCAGCTAGAAGTGAGTCTCACCTTCCCACATAGCAGGAGCGCAAAATAGCTGAATCTTCCAGCCCGGGAGGTATTGAATCCTCGAAGCGGTCTGCAAAATAGTGTCTTTAAGTGCGTTGAGATCTGTCGACTTGCCATCTGCTTGCTTGTTGATTCTCAACCCGCGCACGCCCGCATCATGCAGTTCCATGAGATTTGCGTCAGAAATCTTCTCAATGTCCACCACGGCGATACCCCGGACGATGCGACTGCCACCCTCGCGCAAGCTTTTCAGCGAACGCAAAAGCACTGTATTATCGCTTCCGTACGGCGATGGTTGAACAAGTACGATGTTGAGAGGTGTTGCCCGGGTTAGACTGGAACTGAGATCCAAGAGCTGTTGTGCCGTCGCCCGAGCGGGCGTGTACGATCTGCCGGGCGCAAAGGGCCCTATTGATGCGTCGAACACATGGACGTGAGTATCCCAACTATCCGGCGAGAGGTTCGACCTTTCAAACCGGAAGTATCAGCCACGCGCGTAGAGTTACGTTGCGAAGTTATTTTTGAATCACTTACCGAGCAGTAGTGAACTTGGAAGACTCCATTTTTCACTCGTTGCGTCAGTCAGCATGGACTTTCGATCCTGGGGCCTCTACTTTTCCGAGTTGCGCGAGCTTTTTTCTCGGAATCCTTCTTGAAAGATCGCAAGCCATGGGATTCCCCGCACCGGCACAGGGTCGGACCAGTAAATGCGTTGTTGGTACCGCGCGGTGAAATCCCGTGGTTGCCTTTCGGCGTTACTCCGCAGTCCGCCCCACTTACGTTCGGGCTACTCCGGCTAAGCCCCGGGTTTCTACTCGGGATGAACGAGCCAGTCGGCTGCTGTCACTTTTCGAATGGTATTGCCTTCCAATTCCACAAAAAGAAAGGTCGCTCGGTAAGCTTCGAAAGCTCAGAGTCGGCGAGACAAAATCCCTCTCGAAGAGGGATAGTAACCCAGTGAAGGCCTCTTGAAACCTGGCTTGCCGCGCGCCTTGAACCAATATCAATTCCAAAATGCAAAATGGGGACTTGAATGAGCAGGATGTTGAAGTGATTGGATGTTATGACCACGCGACAGACTGCTTGATGCCCTGCGAGCTGAGTGGGACTCTTGAACCGAAAATGCCATGTTCTTGGTGTTTTCTAGTCGTTAGAGAAGCTCCCTCTCACAGCCTTTCGTTCGTCCGTCATCTTCGCCTCCGATGACTTGTCCGAAATATGTGAGCACAGAGCGCGTCTGTTGGCAGCTTTTCAAGCTGAAGAGTCTCACAGGTGGCTGAACTCATCGATGGAAGTATTCCCGAATTGTTCCACTGCCAAACGGGGGCGGGGAACCTTTTGGTCAAAGACGGTGGACGTCAAGCAGTCTGAAACCCGCTTCAATCCAACGGACTCGCTAGACACGGTAACAGTTTAGTCCAGTTCACTTCAGGGTGTGGGAGACCGTTAGTTTTCATGCGTCGCCAACTACCTGGGTAAGAATGTTAGCGGCTATGCGGCAACAGCAGATTCAACCACACACATATCAACCAAAGGCTAGAATCTTGTTGCGTGGTCCCTCACTAGAACTGACATCTTCCTCCCTCATCCTCTGCCCTGTTCGTCCCCCAAATCAGGGATATCCCCTGGCCC